TAATTCCGTACAAAACGGTGCCAATAAATGAAAACAAACATTTCCTTACAGAAAACATCGGATAAAGTCACAAGTGTTAACGCAAATGAAAATGCTTTTTATTCATATCTCGCAAGTATAACTTTTGCCAAAGAGTCAGCTCCTGGATCATATTCCACTTTTGTGTTATTTTCACTCTCTGGTTATTGTACAACAATGTTAGAACCATGTGCATGCTATAACTATTGAATTGCATAGCTTATTGGGTAATGTTCAGGTTTTTCATGAATTTTGTTCAAAACAAGCTTGCTTTTAAAAAAAAAGAGAAAGCGTCTTCCATTCACCTATCCGAAAATACTCTTCTATATAATCACGCTTATCAATTTCGTCACCTTTCACTGGTCTCTCTAAATGTTGCACCATAGCTCAATAACTACCCTAGAATTAAGTCATACATTTTACAATGGGATCTGGTTTGTCTCTGCTATAAAAAAAACCACTATCTGACACATTCTTATTGTATTGAGCTATTTTGTAATAGTAGATTTGACAGTAAATGAATATTATTTTTTTGCCTTTCTTAACCCCATGGAAACTTTTTGTTACCTTCTCAGGCTCAGAACGATGAGCCAGAGAGTTTGGAAGTGGAGATGGAGGGAGTGAAGATGAAACGAGAATTGGGGATGGTGGGAACCACTTCAATGGTTATTGGATTGATCATCGGTGAGTCTACTTTGTCAACATCGTTAGTTTGTCGCTATTATTGTTCCTATTGTTCATGGGCGGCTCGTGGGTCTAAAATGTGGGGGTGGACAATTACATTAAAGAAGGTTGAAGATAGTCAAGTGCATGGTAAATGAGCTTTATTCTTCAACATATCTGTTTAGAAAAAATCTATTGGAAGAAGAAGTTTACCCTTCGTTCTTTTACTGCAGCAAAGGTGTCCATCACTCTGTTGACGAAGTTGGAGATGCTGTCAATGATGTCTTGTGGCTCGACATAAAAATGTTAGTCCGATTTCTAGGATTGTGCGTAGGTCTCCAATTAATGTTGTGTCGAGTTTGTAGTCCTTCAGAGCTGAATAAAGGCCCAGGATTGTACGATACTGAGAAGACTTAAATATTGCATTGCAAATATAATACGGTTATTTCTGTTTGTAACTTGATTTTAGGCAAAACAGAATAGTTTTCTGATATAAGTTCAAAAAGAACTGTAGGAAACGACTTTTGAAAACCATGGAATTTGGAGGGGTTGGCGATTGATAGTGTATTGATTTTATTTTGCTTAAAGCTCAACAATTTGATTAACTGTTACACCACAGGTCTCCTTTGCACCAATTTCACAGGTGTTTTGATGTCTGCCTCTCTTGGAAGCTTGTTCCTCAGTGGTCTTACTTGTTGATGGAAAACTTATACTGATTCTAATTTCCTCGACGGTTGCTTTAAAAACGTGTCTAGAACTTGTTGGGCTGCAATGTGCGTTGTACCTCTGTGTTGGAGGATCCCATACAACACGTCAACGTGCGTGAATACTTTGTTTTAAAAAGTGTAAAAAGAAGAGAAATGTATCTCTCTTTAAAACATTCAAGAGACCACACGCTTCATGGGTGGCATTATTGTCCCAGTGATCGGACTAAATTTCTTCAAGATAGAACTGGATCTCTTTTTTCCAAGTGAACACTGGGTTAATAAATCGAAAATGAAAATTCCGGACTGCGCCTATGTGCTTTGTTCGGCAGGTCACATTGAGATTGTGCCGCCTTATTAATATTTATGTACTATGAAACTCCCTCTTAACGTCATTGCTGTTTGGGTCAGCCCATAGAGCGTCAGCCCATAGAGCACCTTTCGAGTTAGATTACCACCACTGAACATGCCATGTATTACTTTGGGGAAGCACGAAAACTTTATATTGTACAGCAGAGCGCTACAGATACACTAATAACCGATTAGGCTCTGGACAGGAACTTTTATGGAAAATTGATTGGATAGTGGATGTTTAAGGTATTTTTTTTAAAAATGTCTCTTTGTGAGTGTTGTGCGCATTAAAGTTTTGAGTAGCACTGTACGACCGTGCTCTATGGGCAAGCCGCCCCTGGATAAAACTATGCCTTTCATGTAGGAGACTCTAGTTCAATTCCCACGTGGGGATGAGCATCTGTCTTTTTCTGCTGGGATTCCTCCCTCTCAGCCCGGGTTGGCCCCGACAGGCAGAGTCGAAGTAACCCAAGGGGTTTACAGTTCTAAACTCCTTGAAGTAACCCGTCTCTTAAATGACCTACTTACAGTATTGCAAGGGACGAAAAACCGAAACCGAAACTAAACTGTACTGATAGCTGCAATACATGTCTCGTCACTTGAACAACAGTTTTCAGAAAGACAAAAGTTAATTAATATTACGTGATATCTGTAAGATAGAGAAAATTCTCCCTATGAGTATTCGAGTTTCTTTCCTTCATTAAGACATCATTGACTAGATGATCTAGACGTCATATTGGATAACTAATGTGCCTAAGACACTTTGAGCCAATGAGGGATCGGAAACTAAGGAGTTCCCCTTCGTCTCTAAGGAGGTCATTGAAATGCTCATAAATGCCAGCTTTCTTTTAACCAAACTCTTTCAAAAGGAGATTCCAAGGGCTTTAAATAGGTCTCATTGGAAAGCCAAGAATTTCCTCTTACCAGTGCTATGGGGTTTGCCAGTAAATTTCGAACAATTTTAATTTACTGAACCTCTAAAGTAGGTACTTAATGTTGCATAATATTACATCACAAAAAAGACGTTTTCCAAAATAGCTTTAAAAACAAATTCAAAAGCAACTTTTAAAGATATTGTATTGATTTTCCAACAGAAAAGTCTTTCAAAAAACTAAAAAAGTAACAACAAAAATCTGCCTATTTTGAACCCCAACAAGTGTTTTTTGGGGGGGCAATTTCTGCTCTTCTGCTCTATGTACCTAGTTGACCAAACCGTGGGAACGCATCTCAAATAAAACTGCTCTCTCGAAGCACTTGTTATTACTAAGATTTTAACAAGCTGCATCAGTTTACTACTGGCTACATTGAAGTAGGTAACTAATTTCTATTCAGTATGAAATTATCCTATGATCTGACCTGTGAATGCTCTATTACCAAGATAACCCTGATGACTACAATGTTTTACTCCTTTAACCTAACCAAATCCCCATCCAACCTCCAACACACACACATTCTCACACATACACACATATACACACACAAACACGCACATGCGTAGACATAAATACTCACACACATACAAACATGCACACATACACACACAAACACCCATACACATTCACACACTTACACACACACAAACTTATACAAACATATGTATACACACGTGTGCGCACACATGATCTCTCACACACAGACACACACACACACACACACATGCACACACACTCACACACACACACACACACACACACACACACACATACACACACACACACACACACACACACATGCACTCTTATACTTACCGTCTATCTTGTCAGGTTCCGGTATCTTCATCTCCCCAAAAGGCGTCCTAGATGCTTCTGGATCTGTGGGACTTAGCCTCACGGTCTGGGTTTTGGTAGGACTGTTCCAGCTGGGCAGTGAGTATAATGTATTATCATAAGGATAATCATCGTCATTATGATGACGATCATCATCATTATCGTCATCATCATATCGATGAAAACTTAAAGTAGTAGTCGAGAATTTCTGTCTAAGGCTTTCATTCAATAGGTTGGAATCCGGAAAGCGACGGAAATTTAGTTCTCCAAAATTGTCTCCGCTCACCTCCTTTCCTGCTCTCTATCAATTTTCGGTCATCTGCTTTCGTTTCCACTTTCTGCCCCCACCCCGTCACCTCCTTTTCCGCCTCATCTGGGCTCCTGACTTTCAGCAGCCTTTTTACCGCTACTCCTTGGCTCCTCGTAGCTGCTGGCTTTTAGCTTTTTTAATACTCAGAAATAACTGTGTAGGTGTTTGGCGGGTGCTCTGGTGTGATTTGCTCCTTTCCTATCTAATATATTATATCTTTCTTATCTAGCTCTCCTCCTTCTTCTTTACATGATGCTCTCTTGCAACTCCTCTAATCTTCGACACTCTCAGGACTTAATTGGGTTGCAAGTGCTGTAACACTCTCACGAAAACTAAAAACTGTTTTTCCCAGGCGCGCTGTGCTATGCCGAGTTGGGTACTATGATGCCGAAGTCTGGAGGGGCCTACACATATTTACGGAAGGGAATGGGAAACGCTGTGGCTTTCTCCTACATGTTTCAGGTCAGGTGTTACGTTCTTCTTATCAGATGTTTTCTTACTCCTTTCTGTATCTGGTCAGACTTTAGTTCTCCTTATCAGAAATGTCTTTCTCTATTCAGTTATAGGTTTAGATGTTACATTTATTGTCTTGTCAGATTTTTTTTTGACCTTCAGATTTTAGGTCAGATTACACGAAAGGGTAATTGGTGCTGTATATAAACGAAAAAAAAAAGAAATAAATGGAAAACGTAAACATATTATGTCATTGTTTTGAGCAACAATCTATACTATGGGTTTTTTTTAAAGCAATAAGTAAATACATGCTCGAAAACATTTTAAAATCACACATTTTGAGCAACAAAAACCAAAAGATTCCTCTGGCGATCTGAAGGGTGAAATTACGTTGAAGACATAGGCCAAAACATACGAGGTAAAAAACAAAATTCGAAAAAACTTCAAGTTAAAAATCGAAATTGAATTAAAAGAAAAAAATAATAAACGTGTCTGAATACAATTACGCACAACTTTAAATGACATAGTTTCAACCAAAACACACCAAAAAAAAATGAAGTAGAGCAAGCAGGACGGACCAAAATACAAACATTTACTGTAGTGATTATAAACTTTTAAAAAATGCCAGCGTACACTTTAGCTACCATATTATAGAAGTTGATATTTTTGTTTTTAACCCCCAGCCTATATTAATTTCCAATTAAAGCATTACATAATAAGAGTTACTACCTGAGTGATTGAGGGAGCGGTGACGGAGCGGTTAGTGCGCTCGTCTCCGAAGCGGAAAGTCCGAGTTCGAGCCTCGGTTCGGACATTGATTTTGTTTTACCCCTTATGCCCACCCAGCAGTAATGGGTACCTGACTTTGAGTTGGGGAAGTAAAAGCGGCGTGGAAAGGATCTGGTCACTCTACCACATTATTAATGCTGAATGCCCAGGAAGTTGTCTCACTAACAAGGTAATCCCCAATGTCCGGATCGGATGCGGACAAACCCAAACCACCCACTAGTAAAATTCACTCATGTTATCTAGCACTGATTTACACCCAAAAAAATGACTTTTTTTTTTTTAGCTGAAAGGAGGCGATTTTGAAAGCCATTTGCTATTTTCATGATTTTTCAATGGCAAAAAAAAATTAATTAATTAATTATTGAATAATGACGACCTCATTGCTTGTGCTTTCAGTATGTGGTGATTCAGATGCCATGCTCCCAGGTCATTGTTCTGCTCACGTGCTCAAAGTATCTGCTTACTCTTCTGCCCATGTGCGGGTCGCCACAGTCATTGGAGAAGCTGGTCACTGCTGCGATAATGGGTGAGTAATACAATAATGATGGTGAGTGTGTGTGTGTGTGTGTGTGTGTGTGTGTGTGTGTGAGTGCATGTGTGTGTTTGCACGTGTGTGTGTGTGTGCGTCTGTATGTGTATTAATTTGTGAGAGTGTATGTGTGTGTGTTTGTGCGGATGTCTATTCGTGTATGTGTTTGTGCCAGTGTTTGTACATGGGTTTTGTGTGTGTCTGTGTTTATTTGTGGGTTTATACGTATGCATGTGTGAGCGTGTTTGAGTTCGTGTGTGTCCAGGGGGAAAGGAGGCATGTTCTCGACTCTGCAGTAATTAATGCTCTCCAGTGGCTGAGTGTTTGGTGAGCTAAGGACCCCGATGCTAACCCGCATTATAAAATATGAAGGTGGTGCCGGTTACCTTGTGTCGGAGGTTAAATCAGAAAAAAATGACTTCCCAGCTTCAGTGACCATGAAAACTGAAACATTACATGATGTTTTGTGTTTTGGATTGATGTTTTTCCGTAAAGGTTACACAGAAATGTGTTTCTACATTAACAGAAAAGATTTAAAATTAAGCCAAAAATGCAAAATGAATAATAAATTAATATTAACAACTCGCCCAAGATGTTTATTTTGTGTAGGAATGTGTTGTTTTGGGGTTGGTATGTGTGTGTGTGTGTGTGTGTGTGTGTGTGAGTGATTGTATGTTTGTGTGTGTGTGTTTCTATATGTGTCTATATATGTGTATCTATGTGTGTTTTTGTTTGTTTAGGTCTGTTCTTGTTCTCGTGCGTTCATGTTTGTATGTTTGTGTGTGTGTGTGTGTGTGTGTGTGTGTGTGTGTGTGTGTGTGTGTGTGTGTGTGTGTGAGTATAGTTATCCTCACTGAAGAATTGCAGTATGACTTTAACTTAATGAATAAAATTATAATGACATACTTCACCCTACTCTATGTATTTCTTGTTTTTTATCTCCAACAATATCTCTCATTCTCGCTCTCTTCCCCCACATCTCTCTCTCTCTCTCTCTCTCTCTCTCTCTCTCTCTCTCTCTCTCTCTCTCTCTCTTTCTCTCTCTGTCTATGTGTCTGTCTGTCTGTCTCTCTATCTATCTATTTATCTATCTATCTATCTATCTATCTATCTATCTATCTATCTATCTATCTATCTATCTATCTATCTATCTATCTATCTATCCATCTATCTTTATCTACCCCCACCCCTTCTCCACCCCCTCTCTCTCTCATCTCTTTTAATTTTGTCAATTAACCCTTTCTCCCCCAGTGACTCTGTTCCTGCTCAACTCCTACAGCTCCCGTGTGTCCACCCGCACAGCCATCATCACCACGATCTCCAAAGTCATCTCTCTCTCCATCATTATCATCGCCGGCTTTCTTGTTATAGGCCAGGGTATGTGACACCATACAGAACAAATTATAGTGCCAAGACTGGATGAAATCAGGCGCTCGTCATTTTTTAAGCAAATGGGGTTATTGGTTTAATATTTAAAAATGTTCATTATGTTCATTGCTTTTAATGAAAAAGTATCCATCCGTTTTGAAAACATGCAGACAGTCAGGCAAACCTGCAGAAAGACAGACAGACAGACAGACAGAAAGACACACACACACACACACACACACACACACACACACACACACACACACACATACACACACACATACATACAAACACATCCCGCTTCTGTCTCTTTGTCCTTGAATATTGTCACATGGAATTTCTGAGTAACAAGAGTAATGACAATAATAATAATAGTATTGTCTATGATATTGTTCTGATGAGAATTATGTGCGTTACTCTGTTTCATGTTTTGTCGTTCGAGGAAAAGACAAATAAAAATTGTGTAGAATAAAGGGTTAAAGAATTTGGAATGATAACAGACAGAAATGCAATATGAAACTATACTTCTTTTTAAAACTGTGAATACCG